CAAATAAGAGAGGTACACAATGGGCAGTAAGAGAGGAAACAAAAGAAAGATCATTGACTTTTTCAAGCCGGACAACCATGTTAAAACGCTGCAAAATCTTTCAATTGCAAATAAAAAACATGTTAGGGAACAGTCACGTTCACGGCAGAAAATATAACACGAATTCTGTAGTCATACATGATTTAATCTATAACTATATCTCTAATTCCCCATTGCATCTTACCCAAACAGACTGATATTCATATTTGTGACCGAACCTTAAAAAACCCAAGAAATTTGTTTTTAGACAAGTTCCTATTTTAACCGAATTTCTTGACAGTGAAGAATTACTTTTAATCCAGTTTTGTTTGTATATTCTATAACATGTCACGAACATTTTTTTTTAAAAATCCAACTTTTTATTTTTACAAACAGAAGATAACTAACAAACACGAAGACTTTTTTATGCCACTTATTGACTAAATGGGAGATAACTAACCACCATCACAACAGGGGACATAACCAGGCTCAAAAATGGCACAGAGATAACAGCTGTTTTCAGCGAATGTTCGTCGTATCAAGACAGGTCTTCCATTTAGCTTTGTTAGCTCGCATTGACAACACACAGATTCTCGTTAATCATGACAGGCTCCAATTTTTAGATCTGTCTGTAGAGTAGGGCTAGGTCGCTTAAGTTCGTCAGCACAAGGTGAAACCTCGAATTTTTAGATCTGTCTGTAGAGTAGGGCTAGGTCGCGTAAGTTCGTCAGCACAAGGTGAAACCTCGAATGACGAATTTTCTAATCAGGCAGTAGATTAGCTTGACCTCGACCTTGACCTTAAATCTCCAGCTCAAACTTGACCTCGACCCCAAAACGACCTCAACCTCGACCTCAAACCTCGACCCCTACCCAGGCCCCTGCCCCTCCCTCATCGTCAACCTCAACCTCAACCTCAACCTCAACCCCAACCCCAACCCCAACCCCAACCCCAACCCCAACCCCGACCCCGACCCCAACCCCAACCCCAACCCCAACCTCACCCTACCCCTACCCTACCCTAACCTAACCCAACCCAACCCAACCTAACCCAACCTAACCTAACCTAACCTAACCTAACCTAACCTATCCTATCCTATCCTAACCTAACCTAAACTAACCCAACCGAACCAAATTTAATCTAACCTAACCTAACCTAACCTAACCTAACCTAACCTAACCTAACCTAACCTAACCTAACCTAACCTAACCTAACCTAACCTAACCTAACCTAACCTAACCTAACCTAACCTAAACTAACCCAACCGAACCCAATTTAACCTAACCTAACCTAACCTAACCTAACCTAACCTAACCTAACCTAACCTAACCTAACCTAACCTAACCTAACACTAACACTAACACTAACACTAACACTAACACTAACACTAACCTAACCTAACCCAACATAACCTAACCTAACCTAACCTCACCTCACACTATGTAATTGTCAATTTTTGCTGAATCTCCGCTAATTACTTTAAAGATGTCACATCTAACCCACGGGGTGGGTGTTCTACTATTTTAGCTTACGTGAGAGACTAGAAACAAAATTGTGTTTAGGTCAGCCAAGAATCGCTAGTCATGATGACCTGTTCTGCAAGATAACACATATATATTCCGCCTCAGATACGAACTTCTGTTTAACAAAGCATTAAAACATAACTTAAGAACTTAAGACCGATTTTTAAAAATATTATTTAATCGCATTAGAGGTGGGTGGAGAACCCTTATGTTATTTTCTAAAGATGACAGAAAAAGTACTTCAGTTATCTCCCGTGAAAAAAGTTGGACGAGTTATCGTTACTGCTAGGTTTTTAATGACTTATTCTTTTCTTCTATTAGTTAAGAAGTCGTTGAACGACCCTGAACTTGTCTTGTCCGCGTGTAACTTGACATATCTAAAATATCTAAATCTAGCATTACTTTTAAAGAATGTTATATAACTTAGTTATGTAATGGGGATTTTTGAAAAAACCTAACCCGGGCACAAACAGACTCAATTTAAAAATGACCGCGTGTTTATTATATAACACCAGCATGAGTTATTGTTATACTTTCACTTCACTATAATTTGACATTCTGTTACATCTCCATGAAAACCACCCCTCATGTTATAAATTTATAAGAACCACCCACACAAATATACATGCACCTCACACACCCAAACGCAGAGGCACCGCCCCCACACAACAATCTCTCCCACAAAAACTCATGTCATTGACGTTGTCATTGACCCCGCCCCCACGAACATATACATTTTACACTACACCCTAAAATAGCCCTACTCCCCTCCCCCCCCCCCCCCCCCACACACACAAACCCAAACATAAGATTTATTTTTAAAAATTACAATTTTTTTTTAATATAAAAAATAAAACATTATAGGCTAATTATGTCAGCTTTATCCTCCAACCAAAGACCTCGACATACTACGCCCAGCCGCCTTTGTTTCCCTAATGTGAGATAGGTACTCACTCGTCAGAGCTGGGTCGACTCAGGGATGTTCTACTCATTTGAACCCCGGATTCGAACTCCAGACTCTCACAAAAATAATAAAATGCTGTATAATCATACATTAGATTACCCCCTCCCCCAACTATAAAAAATAAACAACCCCCGCCACCCCCGCTGTATCGTACGTGCATGAGCTCTAATGATTCCAGAAAGTGGACATCGACAAGTCAAAC